TGATTTGAAAAAGTAAAATCATCTGCCTGGAGAATATTTTAACACTTAAAATAGGGGGGGGAATCCCATTTATTTTTCAAGTCAAGTTTAGTTAAATTATATTATTTTAGCAGCCAATATACTCATTCATTAGGCAAATAATTTTACTAATGTGCTCAAAAGAAGGGCAAATACACTCATTTCAAGAAGTTTTTTCCCCATTAATAGATCATATTTAACAGCAGGAGCTAAATTTGTGTCTTAACTAGAATTCAAGGCGGTTTATTTGAAGGGATTTTGAAAGCAGTCTAAAGTCAAAATGGGGTCAGGGCCTTTTTCCATCAGGCGATACATTTTGCATGTCGTTATTACTGTAAATGTCTTTAGAATACGCTTGTCAAATCAGGCCGGAGGGACCCGACTACCTGTCAGCTGTGCTCAGGACAGTAACGGTGGTGATGGACCTGGACATGCAGAGACTCATCAGGACTTTCTTCCTGAAGCAATAGTTGTCAGCTTGGGGTAGGGGGTAGGGGGGGACTGACAGCTATGCTTCTTAAATCTGACAGCCGAAACCAAGAATCAGACATCCCTGTCAAAGACGGCCTGAATAAAATGTGTCGAGCCTTCCTCCTTCCAGCTTGCAAATTAGAAAACCCAAGTTCAGGGAAATCTGAACACGGGGAGCGTTTCTGTGTGTAAAAGCAAACGCTTATTCATTCTGGGTCAATCCGTAGCAGAAGTGATTACCAGAAAAAAGAAAAACACATTCCCCCTCTGAACGCAGGTAGGAAAAGTAATCATCTGTGAGAAGCACAAGAGACTCCTTTTATTTCAACTCATATTTTAGGTCCTCAATTATTAAATGGAAACCCGGCAAGAAATGTTTTCTAACAGAGTTTCTGGAGGAAAATTCTAATCACAGCCCAGACGACGTGCTGAATGGCAGCTTGAAGAGGATACTTCACGCAGAAAACGGGTGACAGAAGCAATTTCCCAAACATTTCAATCATCTCTGTTACTTTTAGCACTTTCTTTTTTTATATCACTTCCTTCTGTTGAACACAGCAGCTGCCCAAAGGTAACGACTATCATAACGCAGCTCTGACATAATAACTGTTCACTCACATCCCCGGTCATCTGCATGTCTGCCTTGCAGGGGTGGATCATTGTAAATTATAAAATACTGGTCCTCTTAACTAGTTTTTAAAGCAGACCTTTCTGTTCTATTTTGATTTTACTCTTTTGTTCAATTAATTAAAGACATCTTAAGCTATGAAGTGGAGCTGGCTGCCTGTACACTGCTGCTAGGAGCTACTCTATGTTTACAATTATGTTATCAGCTAATTCAGACAGAATGTTTACTATTTTTAAAATTTAATTCAACTTATTTAATAAAAAATAAGAAAATTGTGACGTCAATACTGAGATCAATCTAATTTTTCTTGAGATTGATGTTCATAATGTTGATGAGCTTCCGGGACGCCTTCTCTTTTTTATTTATTTTTAATCAGGGACCACCAGGGGGAGCCAATGAGCCTCAAAAATTTGTAGGGAAAATGAAAAATAATTTTTGAATGAGACATTTAGAACCACTCAGGGAACTTTAATGCTTCTTCACTATGTAAGGAAGGTCCATCTGGAAAAGTCTGGGCTTTTAAACTTGAACTAAAAGCAAAATAATGATGACATCTACTAGTGCTCCCTTTTATCGTTGACATTTTGTTCAAAGGTTTGTTCCCCAGTGGGGAAAAGTGTTAAAAAACTAATAGTGCATGGAAAAACATGGCAGCCCCTGATCTGGATCAGCTGTCTCCAATGGAGGACAGTGAAAAGTGTCCTTGCAGGGCAACGAAAACTTTATGAAATAATGCATCCAAACAGTCCTTTGGGAAACTTATTAAGACTTATTGCACTTATTTAAATTGATGATTGTGACTTTAAGCTTTGCAGCCCTGAAAGATACCAACACTGAATTGAAAGTCACTAAGGAAGGAACAAGACGATGATGAATTCTCTGTATCCATTAAAACCTCTGAAACTGAAAGGTATCCAATGAAGAAGTAAAGGGTAAATGATTTGGAGTAGAGCAGAAAGTGGTGAAGAGAAAAACAATCTCTCTCAATCTTCGCCTGCATCGTTACGGAGCTCAGTCCCCGTAAATGTCAGGACTTAGTAGGAAAAAGAAAACAGGAAGTGGGTAGCAAAAGGTGAACACGATGTGAGGAGGAAAGGAGTAAGGTAAGGTAAATTTGTATGGTAAATTAAATTAACCAAATACCTGATGACTGTTAGAGCTACAATGTCTTATCATCAACAAACTTTCCCAGTTACACCAAAAAGCTTTTCCATCTGGAACTGGAGATATACAATATATGGAGTGACTTTTCTTTCATTATTGTTGCGAAAAACACAAAATCAAAATCAACAAATGAAACTTTGAAAAACGTAATCAAAAAAAAGGTTTGGAAAGTAATTTTACAGTTTTCTCAGTTTTTTTTTATTTTCTCATTTTTTTCTTACTTTAAAAAACAAAGAATATATACATTCTTAACATATTTTCATATTTTCAGATTTTATTTTTTAAACATGAGCCTTTTTTTTTTTTTTTTTTTTTACAGATTTGTTTTGAAATTTTTATTTATTTTAGTTAAAGTAAAAAAAAGTTAAAGTAAAGTTAACGAGCGTTGGTGTTGGCCTGGAGAGAATGAGGTCTGTGAAACGCAATTAGAATGGAATTCGTAGAACTTAATCTGAAAAAAAGAAATAAAAAAAAAATTTGAAAAAATTATATAAATAGAAAAAAATAAAAGATTTTAAAAAGAATTTCTGAAAAAAAAAAAAATCTCAGAAAAGTTACTATCAAAATCTTTTTTTTTTTTTTTATCAGAAAGTGTTCCAAATGTTTAATGCTGAATTGCATTCTTTTTTATTGTAATTTGCAAAAAAAGTATTTTTTTTGGGGGGGGAAAGAGTTTTTTCAAAATTGGATTTTGCTTGCAACAATAATGGATCAAAATTCACTCCATACATTATATATATATAGAGGAAAAAAAATACAGATTTTAAAAAGAATTTCTGAAAAAAATAAAATCTGAGAAAAGTTACTATCAAAATCTTTTTTTATATATTAGAAAGTTTTCCAAATGGTTAATGCTGAATTGCATTGTTTTTCGTTGTAATTTTTTTTTTTTTTTGGTGGTGGTGGTGGGGGGGGGGTTCAAAATTGGATTTTGCTTGCAACAATAATGGATCAAAATTCACTCCATACATTATATAAATGGAAAAAAAATAAAAGATTTTAAAAAGATTCTGAAAAAAAAAAAAATAAATCTGAAAAAAGTTACTATCAAAATCTTTTTTTTTATCAGAAAGTTTTCCAAATGTTTAATGCTGAATTGCATTCTTTTTTTATTGCAATTTACAAAAAAAGTATTTTTTGGGGGGGGAAATCGTTTTTTCAAAATTGGATTTTGCTTGCAACAATAATGGATCAAAATTCACTCCATACATTATATAAATGGAAAAAAAATAAAAGATTTTAAAAAGATTCTGAAAAAAAAAAAAATAAATCTGAAAAAAGTTACTATCAAAATCTTTTTTTTTATCAGAAAGTTTTCCAAATGTTTAATGCTGAATTGCATTCTTTTTTTATTGCAATTTACAAAAAAAGTATTTTTTGGGGGGGGGGGTTTCGTTTTTTCAAAATTGGATTTTGCTTGCAACAATAATGGATCAAAATTCACTCCATACTCACACCCTACCGCATGAACCCCGTCAGAATCTAGACTGTATAATTTGACACCTATTCTCCTCCAACAGGACGTCTCTTAATGAGCGAGTCTCTTCCAGCTGCATCCATAACGGATTGCTAATAAGGTGCTTATTAATAAGGAGTTCTGGTTTTAATCATCTGTGTGATATTAAACACAATCCTGAGGATAAGAAGTCAGCAGCAAGTTTAGCTAAAGGTGAACATTTCACGTGGCCCCATCAACCGGAATCACAATGGATAACATCCGACACCGGATTCCTTCGTCCTCCAGAGAGTTTGATCAAATACTAATTAAAACGAGGGAAACCGATGCAAAGCATGAAGCCAAACATCCAGCCAGCCTCTGAGCAAACGTTACCAAAAAATAAAAAAAAACATAAAATCAACCAATTTGACTGCAGAAGTTGGCCTAAATGTCTCAGCTAGTTGCTTGGCAACCTGGCGGCGGCACGTGTGACAGAGGGACCTGCGGATAGCGGGGGATGTTAAAACCTCAGAGCGGGCCAAACGGGGACACGCAGCGGGATTTTAACTAATTGAATCATTAACATCCTGATGTGGAAAGGTTTTATTAAGGAAAGAAAATTAAAATTCAGACCTATTTGTTGGATTTAAGTACTTCAGAATACGGACAAATCTTTCTGAAAAAGAGCAGCTTGGAGTTTTTAAATAAAAGCTGAAAGTGGAAAGATGTAATAATGCTTTTAAACTGTTTTATTATAAACTCCAGATTCTAATTATGTAACGACTGCAGATTTTAAATGAGTGATTTCCTTCTATTAAAGCTTTCAAAGGTTTTTACAAACACCACACAAAGATTTTACGAGTGTAATGAAGTCTATTTGTGTCCCCGCCATCTGTAGATGCACTGACTGCACGTGAATCCCCGCCTGGCACCTCACACGGCCGCAAAACGGCTTTTTGTAAGCACCTTTTGTCCGGCGGCATGGCGATGCTCGGCGGTGTTCTCTGGCATGAGGAGGAGGGGTGCAGAGGGCTCCCCGTCCCGCTTCCTGTGCCTCGCCGCGTCGCCTGCCAGCCCAGTGGCTCTGGCCCAATTCCTGGCAATTCCAGAGGAATGTGACTGGAATGCTTTCCACTTCGCCCTCGGGTCGCGGTTTTGTCTTGAGTTTCACGAGCGGCCGAGAATATCTACTGAGTGGATTCTCCCATAAAGAAAAAAAAAAAAAAAGTAGAGAGAAAAGAAGCTTTCTTCAAACAATGATGCACACTCAAACGCAGATGATTTGGTGTTTTTTTCTTTTTTTTTGTACATGATCTGGAAATTTAGGTCAAATTTTTTCATAGCATTTTATCTGAGAACCAGATAAACGGTTCAGGGAACCTTTAAGAGATATATTAACAAAAAGAAAAAAAAAAAAAGACTTCACAAAATAAAGGCACACCAATTTTCTTTCATTGTCCTGAATGCTTTCAGTCTGCGGAGCCGTTAGAGGCGAATAAAGCTGTAAAAAAGGAGAAAAATGGCCGGATCCACCTCTTCATTGTCACAACGCTTCAAAGCCTCCTGGAGATGAAAGCGGGTGATAGGAGCAGCGCTGACAGAAGCTCAAGATGAGGCTGCTGATCTGTATTCTGCTCCTTTAAAAGGGACACACAGGAAAGATGAAATTGGCACCAGCGATTGGTTCACAGGCTGATATCCCACAATGTATTGTACCACCTTTCCACTGGTGTTCTGCTTCTCAAAGCACCAGGCTGGTATATAAATAAGCCCCTCCATGCCCGCCGCTCCCTCCCTTTCCAGACTTTTCATTCTGGAGAAATAAACAGTAGTGAAAATGTTCCTGGACTGATCGGCTGCATTTCAGAAAATCCACGTCTGCGTTCAGAACCGATCGTCTCTGAGCTGCGTCGGAGACTTGAAGGGCTTCAGCCCCAGAGTTCTGCTGGGGAGCGCCCTCTCTTTGGTCATATCCAGAGGCCTGCCGCAGGCCGCCCAGCGCAGGTCCATGAAGGCCGGGTCCGCCGGGCTGATGGGCGCGATGCGGAACGACGGCAGCGTCGGGGAGCCGTTGGCGGAGCAGGGCGCCGAGCGGGAGGTCGGAAAGGGAGCGGAGAAAGGGTCGAAGGGGGAGGAGCCGTCGGAGCTGCAGGAAGGGTCCGCCTTGAGGGTGAAGGGGTCGCAGTCCGGGGAGGGGAAAGGGTCGCAGCTGGTGAAGGGGTTGGTGGGGGACGGCTTGTAGCCCAGGGGGTGGCCGTCCGACCGGAGCGGGCTACGGCCGCCGCCTGAGATGCCGCCGCCAGCAGAGATGAAGCTCCACGGGTCGATGCGAGGCCGGATAGGGGATGGGCGTGGCCTCGGAATGACGCTGACCTCCAGGCGGCGAGTTTTGGGGCTCCAGAGCGCCGGGTTGGGATGGAGGGCGTACGGCACAGAAGTCTTGTCCTCATAATCCAGAGTGTCCTGGCAAAGCGGCAGATCTAAAACTGAGAGACAAAAATAAACCAGTGTTACCCTTCAACCTTACATTACGGAGCAGAAACACATGATCTGATGCTCTAAAGCAACATTAATAATTTGTCTGCAAGCAACTAATGAACAAACACCATGGAGACCACCGGACTGTGATATAGCTAAGGCAGGGCTCGACGTTTACCATCGCCCGATCTCTATTGTTGGGAGAGTACAAATTTCATTGCATTTGCCGCCGGCGCCATTTTTGTTGTTTTTTACACATTTTCGCGTGATTTGAAAAAGACACGTGATTTTCCGCCAGATGGCGTGATTTTTGTCCACCTAGCGGTAATTTTGATGTAGTTACCAAAACGACAAACAAGCTAGAAAGCGCTATCATATGGCAGTCTTCTGTACAGTGATGCAGGTCATACATTAAAAAATTTTCATTAAATTTTTTTTCTCTTAGACATTGGAGAGGTGCATTTAAATGTTATAGAGCTAAACATGTTAAATTGGTGACCTGTTATGTTATTATTTACGGAGCCCCTAAAGGGACATGGAGGGGAAAAAATAATAAACTTTTGCGAGATCCCGCAATAGTTTTGCGAGATCTCGCAATACTTTTGCGACATCCTGCAATAGTTTTGTGGGATCTCGCAAAAGTTTATTTTTTGCGAGATCTCACAATACTTTGCGACATCCTGCAATAGTTTTGCGAGATCTCACAAAAAGAAATTTTTTGTGAGATCTCGCAATACTTTTGCGGGATCCCGCAATACTTTTGCGAGAACCCGCAATACTTTTGCGAGATCCCGCAATACTTTTGCAGGATCTCGCAAAAGTTTATTTTTTGCAGGATCTCGCAAAAGTTAATTTTCTCCCTCCATGTCCCTTTAGGGGCTCCGTAATTATTATTGTCTTGTTGCTGCATTTATTTTGTCAGGGGAAACTAATCCTGAGTCAGTTAAAAGTCAGGGAATTCTGAAATGATGTAAAACTGTGGAAACCCTGTATAAAATAACTATGTATAATGATTCTCTAGAAAAGTCACATTACATTAATAGTATCATCTTGTATAAACACACCGTGACTCTAAAATAAAAGTTGTTCATTTGTGACATTGACTTCTGTCTTGTGATTTATCTTAAGTTTTTAACCTGTCAGGTTTTTTTGAGATTTTTAACATTACAATTTATATTTTTCCAAGCACACAACAGTTTAAAGCAAAGTTTAGTTTGAAAAGAATGTGCAGGAAGGATTGAAAAGCATGTTAACACGGTAATGTAGGCTTGAGTTCATTATCTGACGTATGCATATACACACCAGGAACCTGGAAACTTAAAAAATACTGAATTACAAAAAAACATTTAAAAAACAAACATGTTTCATTGATATATATATATAAAAAATATGAATATTAGGAACTATATTTATCAAACATTATACTGGGCAAGTAAAAATTGTTTCTGGGCAAATGAAATGTGAAAGTCACTTGCCCTTTGGGCAAGTGGTAAAAATCCTTAACGTCAACCCCTGTAAGGACTGCTAGTATTTAACTGGAGCAGAGAATTGATTCGGTAGAAAAATATATGTAGGATATCAGCAAATTTCAGTTATTGGCCCAGATTTACACATCAGTGCATCTCTACCTTCTTTAACTCCATAAATATGGAGTAAAAAAGGGCTAAAAAATCTGCAGTTTTACTGTAAGGTGCCTCGGTCAAGGTCAATGACCGGCGTACCTGACACGTAACATTAACTTAAAGCATATTGCTTTAAGTTAATAGACTATGTTAATTAGGCTATGTATGCTTCCAAAAAATTAAATTAAAAATTCCACCATCCCCCTTCTTTATACTGCTGCTAAGCATGGCTGTGGCAGTATCATGCTGTGGAGGCTTTTCATCCATAGGGGGTTGGAAAGCAGTCCAGACGTGAAGCTTCAGACCGGACTGAGCTGTTTTGCCCAATTTAGAGACACAAGCCTTTTATTACTAGAAATGGATCAATATAGATTTTTTTAAGGTCAACTGATTATTTATATTTATATGTGCTCTTCATTCTTTTGGGGGGCGGATTTTTTGAAGAACTCAAGACTTTCTGTTAATCCACTGGCATGATAAAAATGTTAAAAAGTCTCAAGTTAAACATAATATTTATTGCCATGAATACAAAATTACAGGAACTGCTGATACCGATCGGAAGGGGGGAAAATGCTGATATCGCCTAAAAATATCAGCCAGCTGATATTTTGGTCCACCTCTTATTTATTCAAAATTTTTATTTTGCAAAACGGTTTAATTTTTCTTCAGCTGATTTGTTGAAATAATCAAAGTTCTTCTTTAACAGGATCTAATCATTTCCTGTGTCAAATTTAAGGCCTGCGGGCCAAAAACAGCCCTTTACTGCATTTTATCTGGCCTACAAGAGAGAAAAAGGCCTCATGTCATGAAGTAGAGGTAAAGACTATTTGTACAAAGCGCCTAAAACTAAAAAATAAATGGAGGTAAAGTTATAATAAGACACTCTTTGTAAAAGAGATGATGAAATCTAAAGTTTCATTTGTACAGCTGCAGCCGTTAGTTTGACATTCCTGATCTGAGCGCTTAAATCAGTCCCTCCTTTCATCTCAATTCAGACTTTGCCTGAAATTCTGCAGAAAGCAAAACTTTCAGAAAGCATTTATCCGATCAGAAAAAAGCCGAAGCAAGACGCTACTGCAGAAAAAAAAAAAAAGAAGAAGAAACGCAGCAATTACAAGTGAAGAATGTTGATGTAATTAGTCTCAATTAAGTGTAACATAGTGCTGTTTAACTAGTTGACAGAGCTGCAAGAGCAGCAGACAAGGCATAAATTGGCGCTGACAAGAACATTAAACTCAGAATAAATCACCCTGAGTGAACATTTGCCGTTTCCAAATGTGACGCGTCTGCCAAATGGTATTATTTACATCAACAGTTACCCTCAAAGGCTGCTGAGCTTTTCAGATGACGAGAGTGAGCAATCAGACGCCAAACAAGAGCAGCAGAATATTTGGAAGGAAAAAAATAAAAAATCAGAAAGTGAGAAAAATCCTCTAAATAAATAAATTAATTAATTCAGGTCTTAAATTCAAGCTGCCAGGAAACCTCATGGCAGTCTGTCGCCAGCATCACTCCAGTCAACAAACAAATCAGGGTGTTTAAACACAATGATGAAGAAACACACTTTCTTAATCATTGTCTTGTCTCATATTAAGTTTGGGAAACATTTCAAGCAGATGCAAGGTTAAGGGAAAAGTTCGGTCACATTCAGAATACAAACTTCTGAAAGTATTTCAAGTATGAAATTATTCCATACTTCAATAAATGTTAAGTGTTTTTAATTAAGAGTAATTTCATTTGAATGTGCTTTACTGGAGGCATCCATGTTTGTCAAAGAACCCTACTGCCACCTACCAGGGTTCCTACAGCATAAGGCAAGTTAAATTCAAGACTTTTTAAGACTTTTTAATGCAACTTGAAATAAAAATTTAAGACCAGATTCTCAAGAAACACAAGAAAAACCTGCTTGCGACAACTTAATCCAAAGGTTTATTTTAACATAAACCACTGCACTAATGTTTCAAATTTTGAAAAGCTTCCCATACAGGAAGAAAGCTAAAAACACACAAATGACAGATATATTTTAACAATTATTTAACTGAATTCACAAACTTTGTTTTAGCGGGGAACAAAACAAATCAGTTTTAAAGCCACATCATAACCAGTGCTAAGTCTTTTTTGCAGCTATTTTTCTTTGTATGGTTTTCCTAGTATGTTTGATTTGGTGATAAGTGGAGGCGTTGCAGAGACAAGGGTGGAACTAAACTGAGAAATACCGGCTGTTTCTCGGTAACTCCATTTTGACGCTTTGTGTTTCGCGCTTCGCATGCGACTCCACTGCCTTAATTCCCATCGTTCCGAGCTTGAATCGCTTCTTGCATAAAATCCACTGAGCCTCATGTATGTTCCCTGGTTTTAGCCATGGAGAAAACTCTTGGCTGGAGACAATTTTCGTTACATTTACACTTGCTCATATTTTCCAGACAAAAAGTTAATGGTGCATCTCCCAAATGTCTCGCAACAACGCTTTTATTGGTTCCGCTATCGAGACGGAACCAATAATGCCGAGCCGTTATTTTTTAAATAATAAAAAAAAATTGTCAATTTTACCGTTTTATTTAGATTACAAAAATAAATAAAAATAAAAATAATCCTATTTATGATGTTTTAAAAATTAAGACCTACGAAAGATTTGATTTGATCTGATTTAAGACATTTTAATACCAATTAAGGCCTTAGTTTTATTTTGAAGAATTCAATGCCTTTTAAGACTTTTGAAGGACCCGCGGGAACCCTGGACCTACCGGTTTGTGACGTCACGGTGCGGTATCGGCTGTTGATCAAGTCCGAGTGCTGTATCTGGTGTTTGTCACAACGCGCTATTATCCATAATGGTGACAAACAGTGCACTATGTGAAGAGAGCAACGGATTAACGACGTTTTTTCTCTCTGGCCATAAGTTCGATGGTAAATCCTCCCTCTTAGAGTTGGCAATCCAACGACGATCCGTGGAGGATCAGGAATCGGAAAGGTAAAATAACTTTTACCCGATGTATTCCAACATCCAGCTGCCATGCACATGGGCATAGTCAGTTTCACTATAGCTCGGCTGAATTTCAATGTTGAAGTCCTCTGGAAATCTTCAATAATTGTTGACTGCAGATGTGTCTAGTAGTTCCCATTGATTTTGCTTGTAAAGCGGGGAGAATGGCGCTAGGCTTACCGCACCGTGACGTCATTGCCGGAAGATGGCAGGAGGGAGGTGGTACTATATTTGTGCAAAAATTGCCACTCCAAGACTCAGTGACGAAAATTATAAGTTTTATTAGATTTAATTATTTCGTTTTTTATCTTTGCTGACCAGACTTTTCCTTTAATTGCATTGCCTGCTCCTTTACTTTATAATTGGCAATAAGCATGGACTGAGTGACGTTGAATTTACAAAT